TTAGATGAGAAAGTCCATAGCAATTAATGGATAACTCGTAGAGAATGACAAAGATATGAATAGATTATAAACGATAGTACCAGTCATTATTATCATTACTTTAAAGGATGGTATATAGTAAATGTTTATGATTGAAATACATTCCATTGGACATCATCTCAATAACCTGAAGATAACATACTCATGAAGAGAATTGAAAGTTCTGAATTTCATCTCTAGTAAGTTCATCATCACTGGTATAAATGGTAACCGAGAAGCTTCATATGAAAGTATTTAAGATATGTTTTAATGGTACTTGATCATTATGTTTTTCTGAACAATTTCAGTTCTTATTGTAAATTAAATCGATCTCGACAAACCTACCATCTTAGTAAAGAAGAAGAAATTTAACTAGTTAATAGGGAAAAATATACCAATAGAATAATATTCTATATTCATTTGGTATTGTTTGTTTGGATCTTCCCATTGTTATTTGGGACTGCAATTGATCAGTCTCTTATTGATATATGTGCGAATGGCCTTGATATTGCCTTAAGTTACAAGCTTTATAAGCAATGATGGATAGTGGCTAGCACTGAAATCCAGAAAGCTCGTTTCGTTCTATTTAGGACTCGTCAGATAGATGGACATGCATCCCAAAGTTGATGATCACTCTGGGACTCGAACCTTGTACCGTCTTCTTCAAACGCCATCGCGTTATCCACTCAGCTACTGAGTCCTGATAGCCACTTGCTTGTGCAAATGGGGTGAAGTTCACATTCACTTGGAATTATTAGTTTGAATCTTCCAATTGATGTACTGGGTTCGAGTCCCAGAGTGAACATCGACTCTGAGATGTAGATAAATCGAACTGACTAGTCCCAAATAGGACGAAACACGCGTCCAGGATTTCACTGCTATCCATTATTCATCTTTGCTTATAATATTGCATATTGTTTTTCACTGTTTGTTTAACAAGTTTATATAAACTTTACACCATAGATGTGAATGTTTTTTTCTTATATATACAAAATGGTGACATATCACGCAAAATAGAAAACTAGAAAAGTTATAAAGTATACTTCTTGGATATAAGTATATCAGTAATATATTACGTTGTAGGATAGTTGTATATATTTAAAGAAGTGTTGATTTGATATATATGTTGATCAAGTGAATAAGCTTTGTTTATAGGAGTGCATTTGTCTTATAATCATCCTATCAAGTATATATTAACAACAGTGAATCTCTTAAAACATATTTGAGTCTTGTTGCTATGTTATTTATGAGTATTTACTTCCTTTTTGTTTTGCTCATTGTGTTTAAAGTAGCCGTAAATTTGGTTTACATTGTAACTGCTATTTATCGGTCAGTAATAGGAACCTATCTTAATCTATTGTGTTACTTCTTAGTTTGAACTCATCATTCTGTTAGGGATTGAACTTATGATCTTTAAATCTCATGGAGAGCATCTAACTGAAATATTGTTGAGTTAGCTTCAGTAAATCTCGCTTTAAAGCATATTTGGTAGTGAGTAGTAAGTGTTTGTATAGGATACTAAGACGAATGTTTCAGTTAACATACTGATGACCAACATTCGAAACTCGGAACACTATTGATTTATTTTTTTACAATTAATCGTTACAACAAAAATCAAATGGATAATTTTACAGGATACAATCTTTTTATTAACGATCATTTGTACAGAGTAATACTCGGTTTCAACAGTCTAAATGGCATAGAAAGTTGAAACATTAACAACAATAATAAATAACATTCGTTCTTCTAGCTGTACTGCTCTTCAACTTCCTCCAATTCATATATGAAGATAGAGACGACGAGACTTCGACACGATCGAAAAAATACACAGTCTCAGTACTTCTACTTCTTTGGCACTAAATATAAATAAATTAAATAACTATCAATGGACAACTTTGTGTTATTGAGTACCAGCGTGGTGGACGATACTCACTAGAATACTTGTAAGTAGTATGTGGCGGAACTTAGCCTTGAAGCTGTCACAGCCGTCAGATGGTAAGAAGAATTTCAGTAAATCAAAAGCACGGGATATGCGGAACACTTGAAGATCAGATGAGAAGACGGTTCGGATTACATAACGTACCAGAAGATCCAAATGAATGATCAGAGGTTATACAAGCATATCCAGTGAACACCCATTCCTTCTATATTCAGACATAAAAAAGTACAATAATAATACTAAAATTTATGATTATTATAACCTGACTTAAAAGCGAATTCCCATAACGATCAAAATTAATTAAAGGTACCATTAAAATAACTGAAGATTACAGTCGATTAATTTCAGATTCACCATCAATACAAACTAATTTCTATAAAATATATTGTATTCCGAAACTCCGCCTGTAGCTCCTCCGGGAGCAACAGGCGTAAGTAAGTAAGTAATATTGAAATCCGAAGTATTATCTGACATATAGCAGTGTACGACAGTAAGTCACTAATAATATCGGTTGAGGATTGGACTAAGCTACAGAGTTGGAATTTTAAACCCTATGGTTCTAATTTAGTTTTCTAAAAGTAGAATGACAATTAAAAGATCATATAATTCTAGGTTTTCATCTATATATGTGTTATAGTTGCAAACTGTTAAAATAATGTCAAAGGTGAATACCATCAGCTTTCAATCTATTTCGGTTGTAAATGATATACCAAACGATATCTGTCTATCATCTATCATGAAAAATATCTTATAGCAGTTCACATACAATTGGGTTTATTTATATCTCATTTGGTTAAGCCCTTTTGTTAACTTATTTAACGGACAGAGTCATCTGTACAATAGCAACCTATCTATTCTATTGTACCGCTATTATGTAAGCTTGAGCATTGTTTACTGCCTATGCATATATTCATTTTGCTAGCCTTACTATTAATCGCTAAATTGATTCATTCATTTCACCATGTATATATATGAACATTTTAATCCTGTTCACTGACTCGCTGACCCGCTGACTCGCACACTCGTTCATTGACTCAATCACTCACACGCTCATTCGCTTGCTTTATGGTACTGCTCTTTCATGCTTGTTTAACGTGCCTGTAATTTTGGATATCTGTGCATGCTTCAATAATCAACGCAATCAACACAATGTATTCACCTTCTGATTTATACACCATTGGGGCATTATCTAGTAACGGTTATCAGGACGCACAATATACGAAGCTTAAGGATAGTATCGGATACCGACTACCACAATCTAACTATTTAAGTAAGAAGATACTGAGTAAATTTACAAATTATTCATTAAGTTAGTTGACTAAACCAATTCCTGAATGACTATGGTAAGTTAGAAATATTCCGATTTGATTGCATTATATTAGGGGATTGTAAAAATTTGTATCATTTTTATCAGCAAGGTGTACCTGTAATCTTGAGGTAACTGGTGCTCCCTGACGGATTCGGCCCCGTTCCACCCAACTTCACAGTCAGGGACGTTACCGTTGAGCTATTCGAGCCACGACCGACCTTCTGTAAAATTGAGATGCAATCACAATTAATTGATCACTGGGTGGTGATCAAGTCCTTCTTAGTGCAGATCTTATCTCAACCTGGTGCATGCAGTGTCGAGCCACCTAGAATAGTCGCCACATTGCAACTTGATCGAAAGCATTTGATCTGCATTAAGAAGGACTTGACACACATGACAATGATCATCACCCAGTGATCAATCAATTGTGATTAGTTTAGAGAAACGTAGATGTTTATAAATATATGTGTGGAATGATATTTTAATGGCCTTTAATCTGGCTCTAATTGGATTGCATGTTGATTGCTATCAGAAATATACATGTTGCCAATCGTCGTATATAAGCATCGACTTAATTCTAGTTAGTCAATAACGAAATTAAATAAGCCAAATACGTGAATAGATTTTGAATATGTATATTTCATGCACTCATTATTGACTTGAATAGGCAATCAGAGAGATGCAACGAAGAGAGAAGAGTGAAACAGATCGGAGAAGCAAAGAGAATAGAGCAAAACGAAATGAAGTACGGTGAAGAAGGCGTTTCAGCCAACTCGATTTAATCAAGCATTAACTGATATTTATTGTCACATAAAAAATAAGTTACAGACATGTTATGAATAGGATAAGAAGTGCACACACATACGCTTACATAAAAATAGTCAAGATTGATAAGCGACTAAGTGACAAGATTAAACTGTGACTCAAGGAAAAACGAATAAAGTGGTTCATCAAAAAGGTTGAATAAGTTATGTGAACCGAACAATCAGATCAGCCACTACAGGATCTTTGATGAATCCTTCACTTTCCATAAAGTCATTTTAGTCTAAAATTCAATTAGTAATACACAACATACAGACATAAGTGTATCCATTTATTTGAGTTAAAATGCAAATTACACTACATTGATGATTAATTGAATTTTTTTAAGAAAGGAAGTACAAAAGCAAATTTGCATTATGAAAATACTTCAGTGTTCAAGTTAGATGTTTATTCCGTAAATATTCATTCCGGATGTAAATGGTGAATTCGTTAATTTATACACAAATGAATTAATAAATGTCGTTAGCAAATTACAGTCTGTTGAATACATCTAAGTCTGGTCATTGTTATTATTATTACCTTTTTTAAATTTTTTTCGCGGTGAGACTATGATTTATGGACGTCCTTTGAGAGATACCAAAATGACCTTGAAGATGTCCCCCAACCAACAAGGAGTAAATAACGATTATAGGGCGGTATGAGGAATTTGAATTGTGATTTATAGTTGATGGTTAAGGTTAGAAATTAGATGATTTCAGGGTTTTGATTACGAAATGACATCAGCTATAATGACAAACCTCAATTTAGCCAAATGTACAAATGAATTTCGAGCCAAAATTCACGACTAGTTATCATAAATCTGATTGGTTCGTTCATAAATTATAGTCTCACCATTTCCTGATTTCATTAATTATAATTCCCATTCTGTTTACATTCTTTTTTTTAAATGTTTGTTTCTTCTCTAAATTCTAGTAAGCTTCTGTTGGTATAATCCTGTGAAAAGTCAATTTGTAAGTTTACCCCCCCTCCTCCCCTGATTTTCATTAAAAAATGTATACCATTTTTTTTATTCCATCATCATTTATCTACTTATAAGTAGCTGAATGTTTTCTTCGGATAAAAATGGCTACTATCATGTGATACACACTTATAAAGGTACACAACCATCACAAGTATTTTGTTCAATTGGACAGTTCATCTAGGCTAGTTATAAACAAGACAGTGATTCAAAACAAAGATTGTCAAATTAGACATGTATAATTGTTTGTTTTTCTCGTTACCATAGAAATAGATAAGTTTGGTAATAAATAAATAGCTAAAATCTTGTGGAGTAACAATGTAAACGAGTGTTTACAATTTTCTTGTTTATCAGTTAATCAGCTATAGGGTTGTGGAGATTTTCGAGTTGAGATTGATATCAAGAATGGATCAATTTTGGACAGACATTAAAATTCTGGAAGCATTGGACGGACGTTTCGTTCTAATGTGGGACTCCTCAGTTGTGTGCACCTAGAATCCTTCACGCATGAATCGAATGCAGGACCCTCGTTCTCGAGCGTGGACGACTAACCTCTGGACCACTGTATCGGTATCCAGTGAAACCGAAGGTCGTGAGTTCGAGTCCAAAATGTGCGATCGTGGATGCGTTTTGTCAAGGAGTCCCGTGCTAGAACTAAACGACCGTCCAGTGTTTCCAGGTTTTCAATAGTGATCTAAAATTGATGGATTCATGATATAAATCTGAATTCTATAAAGATTACTGTGCTTAAAGCTTCTTATAAAAGATATTGTTGCATATGTAGGCTAACTATTGTATGATCTCATGTTTGAAGCATTACGAACAGATATTACTTTGGTAAAGTACTAAAAATAAAAAAGTATGAAATAAGTTTTCCTTCCTAGTTTTGAGATTCCTTGGAGATTTACATCAACAACTTCATATCTATTCATTTAGGCTAGTACATCATAACTATTGGTTCACATTGAAGACATTTTGAATTAAGAAATTAGTAGATCACTGTTTCCTACTGGTTTTTAAATGTTACCATTACACATAATTCCATTTAAGATGAGGCTCATAGACTTTAGGATACTATATTATCACGATACTTTGAGAGCATTAATTCAATACATAATGTATTATGTACCTCATACAATCTCAACACTTGTTAGTTCTTCATAGCGAACCTTTAAAAAAACTCATAATAGGTATAATCATTATTATGATACGCTGGGTCAATCAAACATACCAGCTCAAGTCTAAATGGTAAGTAAGAGATTTGGCATAGTTTTCTGAAGATATAGATAGATTCTATTCTTTGATAATTTGGACTGATCTTTCAAGGTAGATAGTCGGTCAGCTAAAACGTAGGACGAGACACATACATACATCGGTTCAAGTTGCCATAGTCTCATTAGAACAACAAGATGAACATCGAATTCATAGAAGTAATCAATTTAATGGTGGTAATATATAAAAGAAAGATTGTATATAAGGACAGCAAGTACAGGAAGAAAGAAAGATATGAAGCTATTTTAATCTCATAATTTAAGGGAAGACAGAGAGTGTATACACCTACACCATTGTGATCGATTCTGAGACATGTCACATACAATCTCCAACCATTGGTTACGATAGTCATGCAGACCCCAACCAAGTAGTTTTTCATCTACCAATACGGCTTAGACTAGAAGTTAGTGACTTCAAGGAAAGACACAGAATGTATTAAAAGCTTTATACTCAATTATAGATTTTTTTTCTTCAGTCAAGTAACCAGTTAAGTTTCTATATTAAAAGTATATAAATCAGTATTCAACTTAAACTATTTATATATAACATAACGGAAATAACACTAAATTATTATTCTTTCAAATAGTAACATAAAGATGTTTCTTTATTCTTTACTAAATGAATACTGACTATTTTGATGGAGTTTTGTTCTCTTTATTCTCTGAGAACAAAACTCCATCAAAATCACCCACCTGAGCTACAAATCCTCTTCATCATCTCAGAATACTGACTATCATTTTTTTTTGGGGGGGGGGAAGAATAAATAAAAGAAGCAAAAAATACTTTCATTCTACCTCTGTTACATAACTTCTTTTCCTTTATTCATACATACCAAAAAAAAGAAAAAAAAAGAAAAAAAGAAAAAAACTGAATATTTAATTTATAACAAAATCATTCCCAAAATAGAAAGAAAACAGTATCATACTTGTAAAAAAAGAAAAAAAAAGAAAAAAAGAAAAAGAAGAAAAAAAAGTAGAGGAATGTAACAACTTAGACCGGATTCCATTTTATTGATTAAATAAGAAAAATATTGAAAGAAAAGTGACTATTTTTTTTAACAATTTTATTAAATTTTTTCCAAAAAATGAAACAACAAAAAAAATATTGAAAGATTCATACATTATAGGTTAAATATCCTTTCTCAATCCAACAACCCACCCCCCGTACCCCCCTTTCAGAAAAGAAGTTACAAATCATTGAAACATTGAATAAAAGATTTGTTTTAAACAATAGAATATTTTCTTTACACTTTTTTTCTTCTTTTTTCGATTTTCATTATTATTTAACTAAATATTTTGAATCGTTTACTCAATGGATTGTAATATGTTACATAATTATTATGGATAACTTGAAATGATCATGAATGTGTAGATGTTTAATTCTGTTTAATTCTTTAATCATGTTTAGTAATAACGTATTAGATGATATTGATAAAATACAGTGTTCTCTTAGAACTGAGTAACAATTCAAGGATGTTTAGGATGCGTTTCTTCCCATCTAAATGTGAATTGTTTCTTCTGGATTGATCTGCATCGACACCTGAACTAAAGATAGGGAGTGAAGTTGTCGAACACGTCGACAACTTTACTTATCTTGTAAGTCTGATCAATCCTAATGGGTTGGCGTCTGACGAAATCTCAACATGGATTCAAAAAGCTTGTTTAACATTTGACAACTTACGTCACCTATGTCCATCTATCAAGTAAGGGACGAGTATACTGCACAGCAGTTCACTCTGTTCTACTTTACGGCTGTGAAACATGGCAATTAAGAGTAGAAGATACTCATAAGTCACTAGTATTTGACCACAAATGCCTTAGAAATATTGGTCACATCAGCTGGGATCATCAGTTAAGTAATAGTGAGGTTAGACACAGGGAATTAAGGAATCATGATAAATCAGTTGATGAGGTTGTGAATCTTCATTCACAGAGATAGTTGAGCCACGTATTACGTATGCCTGAACACCGACAACCACGACACGCTAAGCTAACTAGTATTGGCGATGGCTGGAAGAGTGTTAGGGGAGGCCAAACCAAAACGTGGCATCAAACCTTGAAATCACTAACTTCAAGTCTGAGCCATGTTGGTAGATGCAGACTACTTGTTTGGGGTCTGCATGACTATCGTAACCAATGGTTGGAGACTCTGTGTGACATGTCTCAGAATCGATCACAATGGTGTAGGTGTATAAACTCTTTATTTTCACTTAAATTATGAGAATAAAATTGCTTCATATCTGTCTTTCTTCCTGTACTATATCCTTATATACAATCTTTCTTTTATATATTACCACCATTAAATTGATTACTTCTATGAATTCGGTATTGATCTTGTTGTGTTAATGAGATATGGCAACTTGGACCGATGCATATAATGTGCTTAGTCCTACATTGTAGCTGACTGAGATGAATATCGTTTATGAAAGCTTTCAATATGTTATTACACCCTGAATTCAACTGTTAGCCATTATTCAAAACTTTGATAATTACAGAAATTGTTTATATTTTCAATGATAAACAATCTACTAACAAATTGGTTTTATCATCTCTTTTCTTTTCTCTTTTTGTTTTTAAAATGAAGCCGCCCAATTTTCGCACATTTGACTTAGAAGATGATTATCCAGAAATACCTGGACGATATTCACCATCAATGCATAAAGATCATGCAACACATTTCAATTATAAAGATAGATTTCGTTGGAGTAAACGTGTTCCACCTTATATAACCGGTGGAATTCGGTATCGATAAACAAACAAATATGATTAGCAGGATATATAAACATGCACGTTCGTATGTTTTAGTTGCTAAGTAACAGTTGTTCCCTCGTTTCTCTTTTTTTTTAAAAAAAAAAGAAAGATATAACTACAAATCAAATACACACATTATATCACAATGTAAAACAAGGTTGGTGAATGTGAATTGTAAACATTTTTATGAAATAATAAAGGCATAACTACATATATGTCATTATGTGTTATTATTATTAGAATAAGAATAATTGATTACTGAATTAAAATGACATATTTCATTCAAAAAGGGGGAACATATGATTATAACTGATGCTTTAACAAGGTTTACTCAATACCTTAACATATTTTATACTTTATAAAAGAATTCAGACCTGACTACACAAGTTACTTGATCTGTATGTGGGCTGTGGTACTGCTCGAGATCACAGGTCGAAGTAGGTGGTTTCTTTAGATGGCCACACTCGGAGTCGTTGTAGTGGAGCAACGTCCCATGTTAACCGGTGATCAACAATTGGTTCATACACCATTTGTTCCCTTGTGGTGTGGTCTACTCATATCTATATAAGTAGTACATGGTGTGAGTCAGACATAGAATGTATTTTGGCAGTAGACCGATGAGGAAGAACCGAAATGAAGCGCAATCGTTTGGAAAATGCACGAACAATGTAATTAGAGAAGAAACTGTGAAGATTGAAACAATTGGTTGTTAATTTGCAAATTGACTGTTCATTGTTTGGTTATCAGAATTTACTGAGATAGTCTGTAATCTTTGCTTAAATACATTCGATTGTCCCCAACTAGTGTTTTGTTCACTACACCCTAAGGTTCCTGAAGCCCATGTTCCCCAATGGTTTGGAATGAGGGTTTTCCAACTCCCCTAGTTGGATACTCCATATCCATCAACCCTGTTAAAGCGCAAGACATTCGCTTTTCGTCAACTCAATTTCGTAAACAACAGTGATGCCTCGAGAATGCAGTGAGTAGGACTTCCCTAGCAGTGGCTGTATACGCGTGGCTATGTGAGAGCAATAGAAGAGGGAGAGTGGGCTATCCACACTCTCGGCCGTACCAAGACATTGGACGTAGTGGCTCAAAAGATTACAACTAAACTAGTTTAGAAGCGGGGAACGTCTGATGGAATGAACCAATTAGAATAATTAGTTGATTGTTAATATCAGGTTTCATGTTGTTAGATCTTCCAGGATACTATTATTTCTTTTACGGATGAAGAAACGTCTCATTGATGGATATTAAACTGTATGAAACTGATATCCAACTTCTCCTGCCGACATATATCTTCCCTTTATAATATCAAAACAATTAGGTTAATAATCATATCACACAAGTAATCGATAAGATTCAATCATTCAATAGGATTCAACAATAAAACACTAAATACTATTGTGAATTAGAAGTCCTTATAATTTATGGAACTGAGTGATCAGGTCATTTGATTATAGAGGTCACTAATTACGCCGGCGTTTAAAGCTTTTTTGACCTCCAACCTTCACTCTAATTAATGACAGGTTTTGATCGACAGTTGATAACCTTGCGCAACAACCAAAAAATAACACTTACTTCTAATGATCTAGAACGTAACTTCCCTGTAGCCTGGTAAATAGTCAGAATTTGAAGGACAACCAGAAGATAAACATTCTTTTGTCGACCATCCTCACAACCTAAATAAACATTGGCTTATAGATCCTACTTTTTAAACCACAACACATCACAATTAGCAAACTGCAGTTTGAACTCGATCAAGCCACAAAAGATAAAGAACGAAGTCAAAAGTAAACCATTAATTAGTAATGATTCAGGAAAGGTGAAACATATACCGACAGTTTATGAGTCAAATGGGAGCTAACAATACTGGAAATACAACAATATAATAATTTAATTATTTCATATATAGATGAGATACTTAATAACGTTGATATAAACCAATAGATTAAAATTTTATGGAATGTTATAGGCGATTATCTTTGTTCATAAGTTTACTAGAGAAAGAGTCAGCGTTTAAAACGATGCGTGTTAGATCCCATGCTCACTATAAATATCAACACTAGAGTGTAGGTACATCCAGACAATGAATCTCGATTAAGATTCAGTCATTAGCCACAAATCAAATTATAATAAAGACCCGTTACCAGAAGCGACTATCGAAACATAGGTTCGCGATGTGCAATTTGTTATAACTTTTGGGCTTGTGCCCTATAAATATATGATGTAATGATAACTCCAATTAGAGAACAATGGATTATCTATCAGATCAATGACACGCGAAACCCGTGCAAGCAGTCTAGAGTCATTATCGGTCCTGCTTCCTGCCTAGCCCTACCTGTTCAGTCCAGAAACACTAATCTCAGCCTCTACGATATGAATCAGGTATTTCAAACATGGAGGGTTTATATACAAACTAAACAGACAACATCATACCACAAAATAGAAAACAACACTTGTACAAGTACTAGCCAAATGTGGCTGTGAATGTGAGAGACTAATTAATAGATTGGGCATAACTTAAGAATGGTAAATCGTATAATAATACTTCATAGGTCAAAATAACTCTTATAATCAGAGAAACATGAATATGCCTAGTTTACCTACTTAACAATTATCCAATAAAAAATATGTGCATCGTACTAGTCCGTGAATAGATCCGAACAGTTACCACTCATAATTCTGATCGGGATATAACACAATTGTAAGCAGAGTTAGGTCTATCACAGTCTCTACCACAAGTAGAAGAAAATTAACAACTCCTACAACAATCTAAAATTTTATTCACATTATTTCATCACCTGAAAATGTTGACCATCAATTGGTCATTAAAGAAATTATGTAATATATTTGATCTTGCTTGGTAACAGACTTTACGGTTTTGAACTTGGTTCATTCTAAGTCATAGGTGAGTCTGTTTATGATGAGTCCTACACTAGCTGGTAAAAATGTTCAGCACTCTTTGGTTTTCAGTGGTTCTCGAACTTATGATTAAACCATCTTTAAACAGTCTTAAAGAAAACTGGCAATGAATATAAACACCTACTGATTTTTATCAGAATGAGTATTTGCGGAAGTTGTATTAAATTTAATAGTTGAATTCATCAGTAGACCTAAACTAGACCACCATTGAAAATCTGAAAGCCCCAGATGGCCATTTCGTCCGAGTACGGAACTCTTCAATTGCACGCATCGACAACGGACAAAAGGTTGAGCATGACTCACTCCTGAATTCAACAATTAAACTTACTAATTTACCATTTTAACAACTTATGATATGAATGTCACGAAGTTGTTGCAAGAAATTGTCACTTGACTCTACAGAGTCAAATAAAAATGATTTGAAATGATAAATACCTTGTGTTACTAAGTGATGAACAACTCAAAATAAGAGTCATTATTAGAGATGAATATTCAGTGAGAAACCTGATGTTCATAGCTGATCAAACCCACATTTTACATTCGTGAATCTAAACAAAAAAAAACTGATGTTATGTTCTATAATTCATTAAGAATGCCCTATTTGATATTCATTTGTTATAAGGATCCATGGTTAACTAAGACAAAACTAGAAGAATAACTTATGTATATTCCATTACGGATTGACTTTAGTTAGAAAACAACCAAAAACTAAGAAGCGCTGAACTGCTGTCTCGTTCTATAATTTAACTCCATAGTACTATATAAATCCACTAACCTACCACAAGAAATATAGAACAGAAACTTCAGATCACTTGACTAATGTTTAAATCTTTAGACCATTCAACCAGTATCTAATAGTTCATATGTTGATTATACAGATAATTCATATAATATTGTTGAAAGCGTGAGTCAATTGAAGCTAGACCACCATGGAAAACCTGGAAACACTGGACGGCCGTTTCGTCCTATTATGGGACTCCTCAACAGTGCGCATCCACGAACCTGCTCTCGCGAGCGAGATTCGAACCCAGGACCTACCAGTCTGGAGCCGAAGCCCTTAACCGATAGACCACTGAGCTGGCATCCAACGGCGCACTGTTGAGGAGTCCCATAATAGGACGAAACGGCCGTCCAGTGTTTCCAGGTTTTCCATGGTGGTCTAGCTTCAATTGACTCACGCTTTCAACAATGATAAATACTAAATCTCCACAAAACCCCTTCTATAATTCATATAATATTAACAATAAGTCAGGTAAAAGTACAAACATGTATATTGTTAAAAGTACATTGAAAATAGTCTTAGGTAAACACTTTTTTTTTAAAAATAGAGCAAAACCATACTGAGAATGAACTAAAACATAAGTCGTTACATTACATTACACATATATGTCAGTCATAATTGTTATTTGTAAACACTCGTCAGTTCAACTGTATAAACTTATGTTATATCATATGTTATAATGATTAAAGCATTGAGGTTCCCGGATATTCTTCGGTAAATTATAACTATGAACGATTGAAAATTCTTTTAATACGACAAAAAGAAAAAAGGGGGTTAACGAGATTAAACTTTCATTACATAACAATGCCCTAAACGTTGGTAAACTATATACTAATAGAGAGAAGAAAGATGGGATTTTTAGGAAAATTCTATATTCCATTCAAAAATTAAAAATTGAATAGGAAACAAATTTACTTTTTTATAGTAAGCAAAGATGGATAGTGGCTAGTAGAAAAATCCAGGACGCGCGAATTTCGTCATATTTGGGACTCGTCAGCTGGATGTACCTACATCTCAGAGTTGATTTTCACTCTGAGACTCGAACTCAGTACCTTTCGCTTCAAACACCATCGCGTTATCCACTCGACCACTGAGTCCTCATAGCCACTTGCTTGTGCAATGGGATGAAGTTTAAATTCACTTAGTATTGCTTGTTTGTTTATATCTTCCCATTGACAACTGGTCAGTCTCTAATTGGCATATGTGCATACTGTGGCTATCAGGACTCAGTAGCTGAGTGGATAACGTGGTGGCGTTTAGGGTGAAAGGTACTGGGTTCGAATCCCGGAGTGAACATCAACTCTGAGATGCAGGTAAATCCAGCTGACGAGCCTCAAACAGGACGAAACGCGCGTCAAACTGTATTCTACCGCTGGCTACTATCCATCTTTGCTTATCATTCTTGTGAATTTAAGCTATTTCGAGGCAATACGCACAGTATGCATATATGCCAATTAGAGACTGACCAGTTGCAGTCCTAAAAACATCAATGGGAAGATACAACCAAACAAACAATACTAAGTGAATTTACTTTTTCATAGTTTAAATCATAAACTGATCTTGATTGAAACACTGTTATAAATCTGGAAACCATAAATGGACTTTGAAGATTATAACAAAGTTGATATAGTTAACAATATAGTAATAAATCAGATGACAACAAGTTTTACTACGGAGATATTAATTAGAAGAATACTGTAGTGGCACCATTCTTCAAAGAGAGAACTAACATGTAGTCACAAAGCAAACTAGATAACATGATGTCTTTTCATCAATACCTAGATTATTCAAATAATGATATTGATAAGAGAATCAATGATCATATTGTCAACGTAATGACTATGAAGAAATTCATTAAGAGTTATCTAATAAGTCCTAGTAATGACATTAATATATAAGTAA